GAAAAGCATCCCAAATAGGGAAAGAGCCCAATTTAGTAATAAGGGTATACCTGGAGGGTGAGTGGAGACCAGCTTATCCTACAGTTGAGTTTGAGTCTGAGAGGAGTGGGGATGGTCCAGGTTGATAGGGGAATGCCAGGAGATTGAGCTTCATAATCACTGGGCTCTTTCAGTCTACCTTCATTTAGTCTCTATCATCATCTTACTTTCTCTTCCTTTTCTAAGTTGTTGCCTGTCTTTTTTGAAGTGCAATAAGCTGATTTCTTATACAAAGTGTTCCAGGAACAGATACATTGTAGTTTATTTCAAGATTATGTTAACAAATTCAGTTTGGGCTTTGATACCTTTGTTGATGAAGTACATCATTTATCAGCTTTTCTGGCGGTGCCAGCACATTGGGCTGATAACTTTAAAAGATAGCATGATTTTAAGTGCCCTTTCTTGCATGGTGATTGATGGTCCAGGCCTCTTAAACCTACACAATTAGGTTAGTTTTTTTCCTCATGGATAATTGTTGGGTGGTAATACTCATTTAAGGAAAGGATCTATGGATCTTCTCATTTTTCTACTCAGTCACCTAATCTAACCGGCCAGTTGAGATCTTCCTGCATTTTATCCCCTGATCTTTATATTTTACTACAAAGAGGACTTGTGGACTTGGTAAATGCAAATGTACTCAGAATATTTACAAACACCAAAATTTAAACCAATGATTCATTCTTTGTTGGGTTTTAATTTTTGTTTTGTCTAAGCCCTCTCTTTCTGAACCACAGTTTCCCTTCACCCTTTGACCCCTCTTATTTTCCTCGGCCTAGGAAGCCCTTGAAACACATTAAAGTAGTATTGTTTGCTTTTCAGAGTTTGTATTTCTATAGTATATCTAATGGTTTAGGGAGTAGGGATTCTTAGAGCTAAAAAGGAGCTATATTTATAACCAATGATTGTACGCAAGAAGATTCCCTCTGAAATCTTAGTAGAAATTGGTGAATGTTTGAATTGATTGCATTTTTACTTAAAACCAACTTTAGGATCACATCTATTATGTCAAGCAAGGTACTTGATGAACTTGGTTCTGTTTTTAAGTACCAGGTAAGGATTAAATTGCAGAAATGTGTGGGAAGAAGAAAACCAACATTTCTTGAGCACTTAACGTGTGCCAGGTAGTGTTCTGTTTGCTTACCTACATCACTACCTGCTTTTGTTAAATGAGTATTACCACCTTCCAGGAATTGTGCAAAGGGGATTTTTATACATTATTCCATTTAAACCTCCTAACCCTCTTTAGGATTGTTTAATTTATGTTTCAAAAAGGTGCTGCATGTCTTGGTACGAAATTGGAAAGTTACAAAAAGGCTTGCAATGAACACTAACATTCTCTGTGCCCAGTCCTCCAGTTATCCTGTTCTTCCTGGAGGCAAACCACTGCCACTTGTGTCTTGTGTACTCTTTCTGACACTCTATGAATATATAGACCTGATCATATGTAAGTATGTATATGTATTTTAAAGATTTTTACATAAATGACATTTTAAGCATACAATTTTGTGCCTTTTTTAAATTACTGTCTTAGAGTTTGTTTCATGCCACTGGATGTAGAACTGAGGAGCTCTGGTGGCATAGTGCCTAAGGCATTTGAGTGGTAACCAGAAGGTTGGCAGTTCTAATCTGCCAGCCACTCCGTGGAAGGAAGACTGGGCAATCTACTTCCATAAAGATTTACCACCTCGGAAACCCAAAGGGTGTCTCTGTGAGTCTGAATCCACTCGATGGCAGTGAGGTTTCTGTTTTTTTTTTTTTTTTTTGGTTTGGTAGAATTGCTTCGTTCTTTTTTTAACAAATGCCCTGTAATTTAATCTGTCTCCTATTGATAGTAATCCTTTTTTAAAAAAATAGATAAGTTTAGCCCATTTATATTGATTGAAATGACTGATATGTTTGGTCTTAGTTCTATTTTTAATGTCTTTTTTAAAAAAAACCCTTTCTGTATATGGACTATATTTGCTTTTTTTTTTTTGAGGGAGAAGGCACATGTATGCATATAGTCTTTTTCTTTTTTCCTCATTCATTTTATTTATTTATTTTGTAAATTTTTATTGTGATTTCAGTGAAAGTTTACAGAGCAAATTCATTTTCCATACAGCGTTCATACACATTTTGTCTCATGACATTGACTGCAATTCCCCACAATGTAACAGCTCTCTCCTTACTTCCTCCCCATAGTTACTTCTTCCCTATGTCCTTCTCTCCCACGCACTCCCCGCCCTCCAAGCTGTCTCTCTGTGCAAATACTGCCCTTCTGTTCTCCCATGATTGCTTGCTCCAAGCAGGTACTTACCTGATGTGAATATTCAGCCCATATGCCTGTTGTTTGACTACAAGCCACAAGAGTGAGTTCCAATTCCAGACTTGAAGGGTGGCTAAGGGCCATAGTCTCAGGGGTCTCTCCAGGTGCTATCAGACCAGCAAACCTGGTCTTTTTTTTTTTTAATGATTTTGAGTTTTGTTCCACATTGTTCTCCCACTATCCAGGATCTCCTGCACTGATACTGATCCCCCTCTGAGCAGCTGACAGTGATAGCCAGGCACCATCTAGTCCTTCTGGTCTCATGGTCGTATAAGCTGAGGATTGCATGGTTGACCAGTCCCTTGCACTAGTTGTTTCCATGTGTCTTTGGTTTTCTTTGTTCTTCTTTGCTCTGGATGAGGAGAGACCCATTGTTGCATCTAGATGGCTGCTTGTACGCTTTTAAGATCTTAGTCACTACTCAACCAAAGTAGGATATAGGACAATGTTTTTGTGCAGTATATTATGCCAGTTGAACTTGATGTCCCCTATGACCATGGTCCCAAGCCCACAGGTCCAACTACTCACTCCCTCTGGGTAAATGGCTGTGGCTAAGAAGCCACCACAGCCTTGCCCCTTGTCAGCTCTACTATACACCTGGACATTCTTTCAGTGCATACAAATACGTATGTAGAAACATTGTTTGCTAACGCTATACATGGTCATGGGCACACTACCCCCTGTCTGCATATATTCTGATAATTTGGAAAGTTAACTTTTTTATTCTAGAAGTTGAATTATAAGTATGACTTTATACCATATTTCATCAGAAAATATCTGACTCTCTACCATGAGCAATGATAAATTAGTAGTTATCTTTTCTGCTCTTTTTCCTCCCTGCCAGCTTTTAGCTGATTATATTATTTTTCTTAGATTTTCTTTATATCTTTAAATATACCTCTGTTACTTGAGCTGTCAACTTTAAATATCTTTTGAGACCTGTCAATGAAAGATAAGGAAATCAGTGTACTTATTTGTCTGCTTTTTCCTCCTCTTCATCTTAACATTTGCCAATTTAATTATATTTACATTCTCTTCTGCACCCATAAAACCTCAAAGACTTAGTCCTAAGATTAAATCCATTAAATAGTCTCCGCCACTCCTTTGGCCATGGTTTCTCCTTTGACCTCATGATTAGTTAAAATTTGTCCTCTAGTGGGAGCTCTGGTAGCATAGTGCCTAAGGCACTTGACTGCTAACCAGAAGGCTGGTGGTTCAAACCCACCAACCACCCCTCGGAAGGAAGATGGGGCAATCTACTTCCGTAGTGATACTGTCTCGGAAACCCAAGGTGGGGTTGCTATGAGTCGGGCCAACTCGACGGCACATAACAACAACAACAGTGGTTTCTTCAGGAAGAAGTCAAATTTACCATATTGCCTGAGTTTTCACATATTAAAAATTACCTTTCTTTTGTGTTTATTTTTGAGCAGTTTGATTTGATATCACTTATTTTCTGGTTGCTCTCTTTTTTATTGTGAAATATTACACACAGAAGAGTGCATAAAACAGATGCGTAGGGTGATCACCTGTGAATAATTGTAAAGTGAACACCTGTGTAACCACCACTGAAGTCATGAGTTAGAACTTTCCCAACAGCCTAAAAGTCCCTTGTTTGTTCCCTGTCACACCTTCCTTCTCCCCAGAGATAACCATATCCTTTTATGCTGATCATTTTCGTGCTTTCTTTATAACTTTACTACCATGTATGCGTCCCTAAATAATACAAATCATTTTTGCCAGTTTTGAAGTGTATATTAACAAAATCATACAGTATTTACTCTTTTATACTTTTTTCTTTCGCTCAACATGTTTGTAAGGTTCACCCACATTATTATTTGCAGCCCTAGTTCATTTATTTATGTTGCTGTATAGTATTCTATGAGTGTATTATAATTCATTTCTCTACTCAGTGTTGATGGATATTTCTATTTTGGGGCTAACAGGAGCCATGGTATCATGAATACTTTAATTCATGTCTCCTGATTGATATGTGTGTGTATGCATATACATGTATACACATATACATGCACACACACAAATACACACATGTTTTTCTTAAGATACATACTTGGGAGTGAAAATACTAGCTCTTAGGATATGCATATTTCATTTTTTTCTGGATATGGCCAAACCTGTTTTTGAAAGTAATTGTAGTAATTTATACCTAACCAGCAATGTGTGAGAATTCCTTCCTTGGGTCATTCCTTCCTTGCTATATAGTGTTGTTTCATTGTCTTTAGCCTAGTGATCCTTTGAGGTAGGTGATATTCCCATTTTACAGATGAGAAAACAAATTCAAAGTGGTAGGGTAATTTGGAGGAAGATTACAGTGATAGTAGATGGCAGAACTAATATTTGAACTCTGCTCTCTTCAATTCTAAAGTCCATTTTCTTTCCACAATGCCTTCTTTACAGATAGGACTTTCTGGCAATCAGATAAAGAAGGCACTGAAACTTCACCAGGAAAAATTAAACGTTCTTAAAGACTTCTTTACTTCTATGTAAAGAATAGGTTGTTATCTTCTGGGAGTGGCTTGGAGGATAGCCCTTCTTGGAAGTAACCTATTTCTCAAAGTCCTTTTTAATTTTGTAAGGTACACATCCAACGTACTTAGTTTGCTAACAGTTTGCTTTTCCTTTTTTTTGCTTTTAGCATCCAGCCTGTGTATGGAGCACAGCATCCTCCTCTGGACCCTCGGCTCACCAAACAGTAAGTCAAGACTTTTTTTTTCCATGCAGGTACTTTTTCTACCCCCCACCCTAGTACCCTATCCTAATTTATTGAAATTGTCTTTCAAATTTGACCTTTGACCTTTCCACTTGGACCTCTCCTAGCTTCTCTTTTGTCCTAATTAAGCAATTTAAAAACAAAGAAACAACCAACCTCCAAATGATCTATTACTAAGTGAGAAAGTAGCTTACATCAGAAATGTGTTTTCCTGCATTGGAATCTGGTATAGGTAGGGTTTGGTGTTAGGTTCTGTGTTCTGATCAAAAGGTCTTTATTTTTTAAATATTGTCTGAAACTGGATGATTGATGTCTTCTTCTAGCTGGGGATCTGGTTTCTGGGGCTTACTGTTTTGGATATGGATAAGTGTGCCACCTTTCCCTCACTTATGAAAACTAGGGCAAATAAAATGTACTGTAAGCCTGGCATTCTTTATTTTGTCTTTTCTCTTTGACATACTCAAGGAAACCCAAGCATACAGTAGAGTAAAAAGTCCCTGGAGGCTATTTCTCTAGTAAAATTGTAGAGTTATTTTCAAACACAACAGAGACCCTAGTTAAATCTGAGATGTTTGGGCATGTATCCATACCCCCAATTACCGCTTTTAGCACACCATTCTCTCCAGAGCCATCACTCAGCCACAGTGAATTTAAATGAGTCAGGAGGTGAGTTTCCTTCTCAGATTCTCTAAAAACTATGGCCTCTGTTTTTGTGCATGCTTAATCTTAGTGACTTCTTTTTAGGAAAGCTGCAGTTTGAACAAAATGATTTAGGAGGTATGGAGCCCTAGGTTCTCATCTTCCTGGGGCTGTGTAATCTTCCTTCACCTTCAGTGGGGAAGTAAAGATACAATGTGTATTAAAGTATTTTGAGTACCTAGAAAAAATGCTGCATTAAATAGGCATTAACAATATCTTAAATTTTTAAAAATAGCTTAATGCATAGCTGGGAGCTCAGGTGACATAGTGCCTAAGGTATTTGACTGCTAAGCAGAAGGCTGGCAGTTCAAACCCACCAGACACTCCTCGGAAGGAGGACTGGACAATCTACTTCCGTAGAGATACTGCCTTGGAAACCCAAGGAGGGGTCACTATGAGTCGATTCAAATAGATCAAATAGACGGCAGTGAGTTTGATTTTTGGTTTTTTAATGTATAGCTATAATTCTACCAACTCATTCTTGTAATTTAGCCAGTATGTAGAAGGTACTGTCTTATGAATTATTATGGAAGCATGACTGCTATTTTTTCTGTTAGACACACAATTTGTATTTCTGAAGCCACTGGAATGTAAGCACCTTGAGGGTAAATGCAATGCAACGCACTGCTGTGGAGTTGGACCCGACTCATAGGAACCCCTTCTTGGGTTTCCGAGGTGGTATCACTATGGAAGTAGATTGCCCAACCTTCCTTTTGTGGAGTGGCTGGTGGGTTTGAACTGCCAGCCTTCTGGGTAGCAGTCAAATGCCTTAGGCATTACACCACCAGAGCTGCCTCCTTGAGGATAGGGCATTTGTTTTGTTCGCCACTATACTCTTAGCACCTAGAATAGTGTCTGGCACACAGTAGCACTGAGTAAACAGTTATGGAATGAAGGAATGAAACCATCTTGTTTACTTAGACAATGGGCTTTTCTCTTTCTTTTTTTAAAATTTTTATTGTGATTTAGGTGAAAGTTGACAGAGCAAGTTCATTTTCCATACAACAGTTCACATACACTTTGTCTCATGACATTGACTGCAATTTCCTACAGTGCAACAGCTCTCCTGCCACTTCCTCCCCGTAGTTACCTCTTCCCTGTGTACTTCCCTCCCATGCACTCCTGCCCTCCGAACTGTCTCCCTGTGCATACACAGCCCTTCTATTCTCTGTTGATTGATCTCTCCAAGGAGTGTATCTACCCAATGTAAATGTTCAGCTCATATGCTTGTCTTTTGTTTGGCTGGAAGCCATAGGAGTGGGTTCAATTCCAGACCTGAAGAGCAGCTAGGGGCCATAGTCTCAGGGGTTCCACCAGGCTCTATCAGACCAGCAAACTTGGTCCCTTTTTTTTTTTTCTCATGATTTTGAGTTTTGTTCCACATTATTCTTCCACTCTATCCAGGATCTCCTACATAGATCCCCCTCCAAGTGGTTGACAGTGATACTGGGGACCATCTAGTTCTTCTGGTCTCACAGTCATCTAGGCTGAGGATTGCTTGGTCTACCAGTCCCTTGGCCTAATTGTTTCCATGTGTCCCTGGTTTTCTTCATTCTTCTTTGCTCTGGACAAGGAGAGACCCATCATTGCATCTAGATGGCCACTTGCAAGCTTTTAAGGTGCCAGTCGCTACTCGCCAAAGTAGGGTGTAGAATGATGTTTTTGTGTAGTATGTCATAAGTTATGCCAATTTTTGTGTAGTATGTTATACCAGTTGAGGTTGATGTCCCCTGTGACCATGGTTGACAATGGATTTTTCTTTAATGTTTCTTAATTTTCACCTTGTATTACCATTTCTTCTTAAGGAGCAGCATGCTTTCTGTGATATTTCTAGTAAATAGAATGAATTCTACTATTTCCTTGGTTTTATCAAGAGTGAAGGGAGCTCTGGTGACATAGTGCCTAAGGTATTTGACTGCTAACCAGAAGGCTGACAGTTCAAACCCACAAGCCACTTCTTGGAAGGAAGGTTGGGCAATCTACTTCTGTAGTGATACCACCTCAGAAACCTAAGGAGGGGTCTCTAGTAGTCGGACCTGACTCGACAGTATTGAGTTTGGTTTTTGGTTTGGTATCAAGAGTAGAAGGGGCTCTGTTGATGCTGTGGTAAGACATTCAGCTGCTAACCAAAAGGTCAGTGTTTTCAAACCCACTGGCTGCTCCACAGGAGAAAAGATGAGGCTGTCTGCTTCTATATAGATTTACAGCTTTGGAAACCTCATGGGGGTTGCTTTGAGTCCTTATTGACTTGAGGGCAGTTGATTTGGTGGGATGAAGAATAGACTATCTGATCATTGGCCACTGTGGCAGGCACTGTTGATTACCACCTAACAGTCTTCTCTGCTCCTGTTGCTTCCTTGCTCAGGAGCCATAATTTTATTCAGATATTGAGCAGATGGTAATGCATTTAGAGCAGGTATCAGGATTGGCTTAAGCCTTTTATAGTTCCGCGGGAAATAGCAGGGTGGGTTTGTGATCTAGTTTTGGACAATGATATATATATCTGTGTATATATATATATATATATGTTGTTGTTGTTTGCCATCGAGTCAGACTCGACTCATAGCGATCTCTCCTTGGGTTTCCCAGGCAGTATCACTACGGAAGTTGATTGCCCCATCTTCCTTCCGAGGAGTGGCTGGTGGGTTTGAACCTCCAGCCTTCTGGTTAGCAGTCAAGTGCCTTAGGCACTATGCTACCAGAGCCCAAATATATATATATATATCATTGTTTTCTGCTTTTGAATGTGGTACTGTGAAAATGAGATCTAAAAGCTATAGTTATTGAACTTATAACCCTGAGAGAAACAGCCAGAAGAATTGCAGAGACATCAGCCAGTGGCCTGGCATCATGATCTTTATTATTTAAGCATCATAGTTGAGTATTGTTACTTGTAGCCAAAAGTGTTCCTTTTGTCATAGCCAGGATTTATTCATTGGTAATAGATCCATCCCAGCACATTTTATAATACCCTTTGATGAACACATGACTAGCAAATTAATTGTACATCTACTCATATTCTTTAGGCAGTGGGGTGTACTATCCCATTTTATATTTGGGCCAGGGTCACCAAACCTTGTCTATATCTGTCATCAACTGAGTTTTCCCTTAGCCTGTGTTTAGGACAGGTCTTAAGGAATATCGTGATATCCCAAACTACCAAGACAAACTTTATACAGTCTTGTTTTTTCACCTATTAATAATGTAAAAGCATGGATGTTTTTCACTGATATAGAGCAGAGTTATAATTATACTCTCAATAGACATAATCACTTACCTTGTCAATCTGGGCGGATTATAATTGTCACTGAATTAATTGCTTCTCTTTTTCATGCACACGGTGATTTGGCATTAATGCTCTCCAACATGGGATAGCATCTAGGCCTGCATGGACCATTTTACAATTCCAGATTGTTACTATAAAACATTTATTGCCCTTATTTTAGTACCTTTGTTGGGACATTTTTATTACTTTCTCTACTACACGATTATCATTCTATTTCACACTGTCATTAATTACCATGTGGTTATCCCCATCATAGCAGAAGCCTTTACATTGAGTCTTCAATCACCTAAACTGCATAAGCACAGTAAGTCATTGCCCTTCCATGTATATTGACTCCAATTAGCCAAATTATTGCCATTAGTGATAATATTACCTGCATTAATTTTTATAGCTCAGATAAAATAAGTCTTACTGCAGAGCAGCCCCATTGGCCACTTGATGTTATGACACCAAACCAAACCAAACTCGCTGCTATTGAGTTGAATCTGACTCATGGCAATCCCTCCTTATGGCAAGGTTCTAAATTTATTGTTTTCTGAATTGGTACTGAAGTATGATAGGTCTTAGTTCTGAGTTATAAAACTAGTTCACATGAAGGCACAGTAGTTACTGAGATGACTGAGTTTATTTGAATGTTATTAAAATTTCCCACTTCACATCCCTTATCAATACCAGATGTTATTTTTCTAAATAAAATTGTATCATATTTCTATTAAGTGCAGCAGCCATATCTGTAAAACAGTGTAGTATTATCAAATTATTAGGCACTGTGGTGGTGCAGTGGTTAAGCATTTGCCTGCTAACTGAAATGTTGGTGGTTCAAACCCACCAGTGGCTCAGTGGGAGAAAAGACTTGGTGTTCTTGGTGGAACCCCTGAGACTATGGCCCCGGGTTACTCTTTGGGCCTAGAAATGGACTCCCTTCCATGGATTGGCCCTCAGCCCAACAGTAGAAAGACCTACATGCAGAACACTTACCCAGAGGTGATGTACCTAC